TATTATTTAGGAACCTGGGGGGGCGGGGGGTGGGGTATGAGCTTTAGAAAATTAGGTACACCCGGTCACAAAAACATCAATCAATACTCAATACCTGCTCAGAAACATTCATAAACAGATGGAACAGGTGTGCTTCTACATTCCTGGGTAACTGTGAGGAAATTTGAAATTTCTATTGAGCANGCTGGTCAGAGACGGCTCCACTATTCCATACACACAGCTTTAGGTCACTTTAGCTAGCACAGTTCTCATCACAACAACCCAGATCCTGAAACCTTTATCCAAGACTCTCTACCTTCTACGTCCATTGTATACGACACGTTCGCGGCGAATTTGACTGATTTTGTACAGCCATTCATATAAGTAGTACAAAAAGACTGCTGTTATTAGTGAAGTGTTGAACACCACCAGCTGGGACTATGCGCAAGTGGCTGAGACTTAGGGCTTTATAAACATTTAGAACATTCAAGGCACACAAATACGACACATTTGTGTTATCGATTGATCAACATCTGCTACCGAACAAGGGGGCATCGCTCCGAGTAATTATTACAATTCCAAGTGGATGGTTGCTGAAATCAACTGAGTTAAAAAAAATATACTAAAACACAGAAAATCTTTCTTGTTGCCACATAAAGTCTACATCAGTCTAGCATTGTGTGGTAACCACGTTTGCAAAAGACTAAATTTGTCATCGACAAAACCCCCGACTGACTATGCCTAAACAACGACACAAAACAAAAGCGGATTATCCACATCTTGGCCCGACGGTATGATGCAATCAATCGAAAAATGATTGAATGATCGTGTTACGTAATCAGGTTAGACAATTGATTACAACTCTGTCAACACCCTTCCTCCGTTCTCTCTCCTGACCCAGTTTTATTTCATAATTCATGGCTATTGTTGCTACTCCATAATCGTATAAGAATGTAGAAGCTTGAAGATGAATAATCGAAAAGAATTCTTTGCTTCAATGGTCTTTTCAATGAATGAATTTGCATCTATTGTAATATCGAAACTATTTTAACTTTTCCAGTAAGCATCAACAGAGCTTTGTTGAAGTTATGCTTGACGCGTGAATCCTACTCCATCGTAGTTGGGTTATGTATCTAAGCATAAATTCTAATTTAAATAAACCCATAGTAGGAGATTCATACATGTGGTAGATAGTCATGTTTTACTATGACACGGTGATTCCGGTCACTGACTGAAGCTGGAAAGATGAACGTGTTATGATTCACTTCACAATCTTCGCATATTTATTAGGCAAAATACTCCCCAAATGGTCACGTCTTGTCTGCATCAAGGCGTATTTGGACTCATATCATAATAATTGAAGAAATGATTTTGTCTACCTGAATCGTTTGACACAGACTGATCGGGATTTGGTTGTAATGCATTGCCTCATTCATCTAGCCAATTATGCAGTGGGCGATGAGAGCACAATTGCTCATAGATGAAACTATGCTCGTTTTGTTATCCTCTTGTGGAAAAACAAAATTTAGCCTATGCATACCAAGTTTTTTCACACAATTTTCACTAAAGTGAAAATGCCAAACACATTGATTAAAGCTACTCATCTCCATCGGTCATTTTGGTAAACCACACCACTCGTTCCACCCCCTATCCACCTTCCCTCCCTTAGATTTTTTTTGTCTCGTCTTTTGCATGTCCCCCCGATGAGTACCGGCTGCACTTGTACGGTCGACAGATATATCATGGGGGTTTTAGTATATCCAGTCGAATACCTCACCAAGTATATTCGCGTCACAGAAGTTGCTGTAGAAGTCGAAAGATTAATTTGAGGACACTTGTGGGTAAAATTTGATACTTTGGAGTAAGGTTGTAATGCGAGCTCCACTGATGTATTCAGGATAAAAGATTATATATATATCCTTCGAGATTGGTTGATCTGAAATAGCTATCCATATATATTTCATTCACGTCTGAGTCCAGACTATACGTCAAGTAAATCCCGGTAGTATAGTCTTTATAGAATAAGTTCTTCCATTTGCTCGTGGACGAGACATTGCTAGGTTTCCCAGGCCAGAGGAGGTGCATTCTCTTGGTAACTTCACAATCGGGGCCTTGGTCTAGTCAAAACCTGAGTCGTAACGCGACGGGGCGGTCTGTCAGTGTCCAGCTCAGTGTCTAAGGGATTTTTATTTAGTTCATTTACTCTGTATCGTTTGTTTTATTTCTTTTATATGCGGTGGGATTTGTTTGATGTCTTTTGGCTGCCTACTTGGATAAAAGAGGAGGATGAAGATTGTTTTGTTGAGAGCAGAGTCAAAGAGAAGACAGACAATTCATATAGACCGCGGTTGCAAGAATAATGAGTAGATGCACGAGTGCCTCTGTTTGTCAAACTCAGTCGTATCAGTCAGTGTTTCTTACCACCGGTTACCTATTTGATGAGATGCGCAACACATATTCAAACCAGAGTCCTCTGTGAAGGTCAGACAGAGAATCAATTACCAAGAATCGTCAGTTCTGATCATCTAGAACACAAAGAACACAAAGTTTCATTCAATTTCCATCGCCGTGTGTCATCGGCAAGCAATCTGGTCAATGGAAGACAAACTTCATTTTTTTCCTTTCAAATGAATGGCCGTGCGTTATTTCTCGTTAAAAATTATACACTTGTATTATGAGCGACGGGTTGGGTAATCCCCGTACTCATGAGGACCTGCTGTTCATTTGAGAAGTCCGGTAGTCTAAGCCCCGAACTATGTAGTGGCGAAGCACAAGAGACGACACCTCTAGCTTGTAATACACTTTTTTCAAAATATGACATAGCGTTTATAAAGTTGATTTCATTCGGGTACTTGTTCACATAAGATGGTTTTGTTCATTTTAATAAAGTTACATTCTTCTTAACTTCCTCCTCGTTTAGATAAAGTGTGCCTACAACCCAGTACAAAGTAAGTCCCCTTCTATTACTTGTAGTTGAAATTAGCAAATTTCCTTCAGTCCGTGTGTGCACACTTTTCGATTACCTATCTTCCTTTACAATGTAGAACACCAAGTCAAGAATCAGTCAGTCTTATGACTGTTTGGTCTATAGTACCTTCCCGCATATATAGCTTATAGACGAGATTCGCGAAGCACCAGCTCCACAACCCATGCCGTGTGTAACTGGATGGTCAGATACCGTTCACCGTTTCATACCACTATTAGGTATCATAGACAATAGATGAGATTAACGCCATGCTCATGCCAGCCTGTTACTCACCGATAGAAACTGGCATCCGAAGCGCCATAACTTGGACTGGGAAACCAACAAAGGCCCACTAGGTTAGCCGTGGTGTATTAAGCCAAACAACAAGGAAGCTATCTACTACTGTTGTAAGGTAATACTCACATTTGTCAGCAGTATGCAAACGATCGTGGTTGGTGGTTTCTTTCACCGCTGAACAATGAACAACACCTGTTGTTCAATATGGTAATTTAAAAAAATATGCATCTATTATTGAACCGTTAACTATCCTGTGTGCGTGTGGGAATTCAGAAGACTCTTTTTGAATGAGACTTTTGGTTGTATGTATGTCGAATTACCGATCTACCAACCATTATTCATAATAAATATCTATCCTTGTCCAGGTGCCGACTTGTAGAATTATAACACTACTACAGTTGAATGTCCAGGACCAATGGACGGTGGTGACAGCGACTTGAATCGCTTAATCACCAACACCTAATTAAATATTATCAAAACTGTTGACCAGGATGTTTAAACTACTTTAAAACCAAGAACAAGTAGATACAAGAATAAAACTAATCAAGATTCATGATCTTGTATTCTGCTGGTCCGTCCGCATATATGTTGAATCATATGGATATGAACTAAATGGTTCAGCATGGTCTGTGAAAACCTTATAATTTCATTTGGTTATCGTTCAAATGTTCATGATCCAGTTACGCATTTGTTACTTTCACCTTTCTACGAAAACCAATTACTCGCCTCACCATACATGAATCGCGCGTATCCGAGATGAGTAAATCTGCGGTAATTGGGCATAACATCAGTTGCCGGTCTTCAAAAATTAAAAGGTAAGGACTTGGTTCCAGGTCAGAACAACAAGGTTACCCCTGGTGCATGATTGACTGAGCATAAACAGTGAAGTCGACAGGCTGTGGATCCCCGTGATATGATGTGTTTCATTGAATTTTTTGGGATGGAGTAACCAGATTCACTGAGGGAGGAACTGTGCATAATGTTCACAAATATCATCCAGCATATAATTATGAGTTATTGTTAATGCCTTGGCGAAAGTAAAGTAACGATTTTTCCGCTGTATTGAACTTTCTGTGTATTGCGGTTACACTGAGTCTGTTCTTTCATTGCCTTTCTTCGACCGACGATTCCTGTCACAGTTGGAATGACAAATTTATCCGCACCGAGGAATTGCATGCATCCCTGACACGGTTAGGCCGTGAAGACGAACAAATCAGCATGATTGCCAGTCAACAGCATCGACCGGTCGATGTGACTCTGGCCACCCAGGATCCGAANAGTCAGACGACATCGGTTTTACTAAGCAAACAGGAAGAGAAACGGGATCGAGAAAGAAAAACCCGATTATTGAAAACTTTAGAAGCGTTAGATCAAGGAAATTCTGTCGGTGACAACCCGCATGCGTATCCTGGGTCCGCACCGAGGCCAAAAGAAGAAATCTGCACGACCACAAGCGCACGCAATCAGTCCGACTTGGCTGGAAATTTCACCAGGTTAGATTCATTCAG